AGTACCAATATACATGTATGAAGACACGAATTGTGTGACTACTTTCGCTGATTCCAATAGATGCATTTTGCTCAACCACCCATAGGAGGGGCACCACATACTTCCATATGTTCTGAGGGATTGGCTATAGTTATTAACAACACTAAAAATTTATTCACATATGTTAATTCCTACCTTAATTAGTACTTCTCTAAAACTAAACATAAGAATGGCTGAATTAAATAATTACTAGAATGATAACAGATTTACTCATTGTATAATCACTGAAAATTCCATTATGTACAACTTAAAAAATACATTCATGACATGAAACAATTCTTAACTTAAAAGAAATTAACTTTAGGATACTACTATCTAGAAAATAAGCCAAAAAATATTGCTTTGTCTAAAGTGAATATGATTTTAAACAACAGATCAGATATTTCTATAAAGGATTTTAAATTGTAATCTTTTTCCCTTTAATCATATTTATTTATTTCCTGGTACAGGAATATGATATTCAGACCATCAAAAAACAAACTGTACAATACTTATATAGCAAAAAGAACACAGAGTTTTCTGCTGAGGAGAAACTGAAGGTAGAGTATGCCAGGATACTTAGGCATAGATTGCTTTCTCCATCAGCCTTGCCATCTGCTATGATCTCAAAATTGGTGTCCCCCAAAATCCATACATAGGCATCTAATACCCAATGTGACTGTATTAAGAGGTAGGGTATTTGTGAAATGAGTAAGTCATATGGGTTCTGTCCTGAGATTAGTGTCCTTTAGAAAGATGTTGAAGAATCTAGTTTGCCCCCTTTTCTATTATGCAACAATGCAGTAAGAAGATGCCATTCTTGAAGCAGAGAAAGCCTACACCAGACAATGAACCAGATGGCCCTGACCTTGGGTTTCCCTAACTTGAGAACTGTGAAAAATAAATTCATACTACTTATCAATTAACTCAAATTAAGATATTTTATTACAGCATTTTTCAATGGCTAAGACACCATCACAACAACTGGTCCCAAAACTAGGACAGCTCTATATTTGTAAACACTCGAATCCTCTGTGGATTTCATTTTTTAATTTCATTTTTTAAAATATCACTGCCTGTATACCTTCAGATCATATGAAAGTTAAATGAACAGAGTTCAGTTCTTCCCTAATCAATTAATCCTGCAAGTAACTACTATGTGTGGTTCTCACACACTTGCTTATTCAGGATCTTACCGAGGCTCTTATCTTTGCCCCCTTGGTGAAGTTTGAATTTCTCTAATAAATTGTAATCATTTTTTTTTCTTCTGTGCTGCTGGGAATTGAACCCAGGACCTTTATGTACACCGATAGTCCCGAATTGCTGTGAAAATACTTTGTATACAACCAGAGATGAAAAATTATGCTCTATATGTCTAATGTGAATTGTAATACATTCTGCTGTAATATATAAATTAACAATGAATAAAAAGAAGCTTGATTCCTTACCCACATTTACATACCATTATTCTCTGAAAATATAGTTTCTCCTACAATTAACAATTTATTTTTCTATTGACTATTTTTAATTTTATAACAAAGAACACAAATATAAAACATGGTTGCAAGTGAACAATCACTTTTTATATTATAGTTTTATATTATAGTTTTCAAAAAATCTAGCTTATATTGGTAGTAAAACTTTCTTTTTTTGTTAGAGCTTTTTTCCTACTTTATTCAGATAAAATTAGTTTAAAAATTAAGTTTTTAGAAAATTAGTTTCAGGTGTGGTGGTGCACGCCTATAATCCCAACAGCTCAGGAGGATGAGGCAAAAGGACCACAGCCTCAGCAACTTAGTGAGTTGTAAGCAACCTAGTGAGACCCTGTGTCAAAATAAAAAGGACTGCGGATGTGACTTGGTGGTTAAGTACCCTTGGGTTCAATCTCTAATACAAAAACAAAAACAAAAAAGCAATGCACTCACCACTTCCACTGATTATATCAGGTTTTTCCTTCATCATTTTACAAAATTGTTTTTGGCAATTTTCTATCCACTCAGTTTGTTCATCAGACATTTTGAAGAGTAATAATAGCTTGCCAAGATCATTGTCTAATAAAAAAGAAAAGATATAACAGTATTATAATACAACACACTAGATATATTCATCTGTAGATATTAATGTTAAATATGTAAAGAGCTGCAATTTACAGAAAAGTTCTGTTTGTGGCTTTCAAAGAAATATTTCTATAATTACATTTTATCTACTATCAATTGATATTTACCACATTTACTAAAAGCTTATAAAATGGATTACTGATTTTTTAAAAGTTCATATAATGGATTGTTACTTTGTAAGCATAAATCTTTAATAGTCTTAATTCACAATAGCTAGACTGTGGAACCAACCCAGATGCCCTTCAATAGAGGAATGGATAAAAAAAAATGTGTTTTGAACAACCAATAAAAAAAAAAAATGTGGCATTTATACACCATGGAATATTATGCAGCACTAAAAAATGACAAAATCATGGAATTTGCAGGGAAATGGATGGCACTAGAGCAGATTATGCTTAGTGAAGCTAGCCAATCCCTAAAAAAAAAATACCAAATGTCTTCTTTGATATAATGAGAGAAACTATGAACAGAGCAGGGAGGAAGAGCAGGAAGAAAAGATTAACATTAAACAGAGACATGAGATGGGAGGGAAAAGGAGAGAAAAGGGAAATTGCATGGAAATGAAGGGAGACCCTCATTGCTATACAAAATTACATATAAGAGGTTGTGAGGGGAATGGGAAAATAAACAAGGAGAGAAATGAATTACAGTAGATGGGGTAGAGAGAGAAGATGTGAGGGAAGGGGAGGGGAGATAGTAGGGGATAAGAAAGGTAGCAGAATATAACAATTACTAATAGGGCATTATGTAAAATTGTGGATGTGTAACAGACGTGATTCTGCAATCTGCATTTGGGGTAAAATTGGGAGTTCATAATCCACTTCAATCTAATGTATGAAATATGATATGTCAAGAGCTTTGTAATGTTGTGAACAACCAATAAAAAAAATCCCACATGAAAAATTGTGCTATATATGTGTACTATGAATTACAATGCATTCTGCTGCTATGTATAATAAAATCAGAATAAATAAGTAAATTTAAAAAAAAATCTTTAATAGTCTTTCTCTTATATCAATGTTTCCTTACTTAGTACCCAGTTTAACAGTGTGAAACTTAAGATTTCATTCCATGGGGTTGCCATGAACATTATACTCATTTGTCATGCACATTCAAGTGCAATTTTATTCTCATGTCTTTGAAAGTAAAAAGAAAGCATAAATGTGTAAGATCTCTAGTCAATCATTTAGATCCTCTTCTTGAAAAAACAAACTGATGAAGATATTAAAATATTCTATTCAGGCTCACTGTTTATTTAAGTGTACAAATTTTATGCTTTATATATCAATTACATAAATTTCAGTCAAATACAAAATATATGTGGAGTTCCTTCCATGTGATTATAATAATTCACATATTACTGCCTTCATAAAACTTCCGTCTTTTAAAGCATATGTGCCCATGTGCACATATAGAAAGTCCCCTCTTGACCATGGGAGATATGTTCCTAAACCTCTAGTGGATAGCTGAAACCATGGACAATACCAATACCTATATGTAAATACTTTTTCCTATATATACCTACTTATGACAAAGTTTAGTTTATAAATTAGGAAAAGTAAGAGATTAAAAACAACTAATAATAAAATAGAACAATAAGAATTCAGTGTAACAAAATGCCAGTATCACTGCTCTTATATTTTAACAAGACTTAATTTACAATTAAGTAAAATAAAGATTATTTGAATACAATCGCTATGACACTGCAACAGTTGATTTGATAACCAGAATGGCAACTAAGCAACTAAAGGACAAGTAGCATATGCAGGGTGGATAAGGAAGAAAAAAAGGTGATCCACAACCAGGTAGGACAGAGTGGGACAGAGGGGGATTTCATCACCTACTCAGAATAGCATAAAGTTTAAAATTTATATTCATTTCTGGAAATTTTCTGTTTAATATTCTCAAGATAGAATCTGGCAGTGGATAACTGAAAACCATGGAAGGGAAAACTGCAGGTAACTGGGGACACTGTGTATCTCTCTCTCTCTCTCTCTCTCTCTCTCTCTATTATATCTATTATACCATTATATCTGCATACAGATATAATGGTATTAGTAACATATATCATTCCTATAATCTAAATTTCATTTTCTTTAGTCTTAAAAAGCTGATACGTATTGTCATGTGGTCTGCATTGTGATCATATATAAAATTGACAATTTATGTAACTATTTCCCTCCTTGACATTCAGGCCATCAAAAACACTTCTTATCAAAGCTGCACAAATACTCTCTGATACAAACACATAAAGACACAGATACATCAAACATATGCATGCTTGCAAATAAATACACACACAAAAATTGTTTCATTGAAAAAGAGTATATAATTCTGACATTCAGTAGTAATATTTTCTTTAAATATTGATTATAATGATGTGAAACATTTTACCAAGAGCCTCAAAATTAAAAACAATAATTAAATTAAAATTTCATATTATTTAAATTAAAGGAGAACATTTCTTTTAATAAAAATATTTAAACTTAATGTCATAGTTACATCAAAATTGTTATTGCTAAAAAAGTTTTCATGTTAAATGTATCTTTATATATTTTCTTAAGCCTAATAAAAATCACTAGCAGCACAATTAAAAAAAAACAAATGCAGGTGTGTGTGTGTGTGTGCGCGCGCGCGCGTGTGTGTATGTGTGTGTGTGTGTGTGTGTCTGGTCTTTGTTTCCTTCTGTTTTGTCTCTTTTATCCAGGTACAACCCTGCCATTTACCTCCTCCAAATGAAAAAAAACATATATATGATCAGTCAACAAATATATGAAAAAAAACATCTCCAGGAATCAGGGAAATGTGAATCAAAACTACACTGAGATTTCATCTCATTCTAGTCACAATGGCAATTACCAAGAATAAAAATAGTTAGTGTGGTGAAGATTCGGGGAGAAAGATACATTCCTATATTGTTAGTGGGACTGCAAATTGGTGCAACCATTCTGGAAAGCAATATAGAGATTTTCCAAAAAACTAGGGATGGAACCACATATGACCCAGCTGTCCCACTCACTCCTCAGTATTTATCTAAAATATTTAAAATCCGCATGATATAGATACAGCCACATTAATATTTATAGAAGCACAATTCAAAGTAGCCAAGCTATGGAATTAACTTAGATGCCCTTTAACAGATTAAAGAATAAAGAAAATGCTCAGGAGATATCTAACTCCAGAGCTCACAGGACTAGTAAACTACCAGGATATTCCATAACTGTATTAGAAAGTCACTCTATAGCAGGAAGGTTAAGCTACACACTCATTTATAAAAAATGACAACCTTGAAACATCAAAATACACACAAATCACTTGATTTTCTGACACAAAAGGCTTCACTACCCTTTGAAAAAAGTCTAGAATTCAAAATTAATAATGTCTAATGTCCAATAAAAAGACACTAACGTGAAGAAAAAAATTGTGACCCACAACTGGCAGATGAATCAACTAATAGAAACAGATTCATCAGGTTCTCACTGAACAACTCAGACTGGCCTCTATCTTAACAGTCCTCTTGCCTCAGTCCTGCAAGTGGCAGGGATTACAGACATTTGATAACATAGCAGCTACAACACCATTTTCATAGTAGCCATTACTACAGAATTCTAATTGTGTAGTATTATTTCTATAGATAGAGAACAATAAAAATTAAGACTTGGTATCTACCTCTCGCTCTGATAAAGTCACCATGAATAACTAACAGTTTGATTTCTCATAAAGGGTCTGGTTTATCTAGTAAGACAGAACAGCAGCATGTTCTTTCCCTCTCTGCTTCTTCTGAGTACTATGACTTATAGGCACCTACAAAAAACTGCAGAGTAAAAAATCTACTTTAAACTACTAGAAAAAAAATTGAAAAAAAGAAGCATCAAGTTTCCTGCTTAGAAAATTCACCATGACAGCTGATAATAATAATTCATGTCTAAACTCTGAAACACAGTAATACGGAGCACTATAATATTTAATACTTGGGTATATTATAGTTTGCCAAAGATTATAATACAGAAAAAGGTTATTTATTATGTAAGTTTATTATAAATAATAGAGAAATGCTCTCTCTATAAATACACATATATGTATGTATGTATATCCATATATATGTGTGTGTGTGTGTGTGTGTGTGTGTGTGTGTATTGCCTTACATGCACAAGGCTCTGTGTTCTATATATAAAGAATTTTAACTCCAAAAGGAGAAAAAATGTAAGCACAATATAAATACAAAGAAAATCTACTATTCACATAGAAACTTTTAATAACTTCTAACTTCCTTCTAGGATTTCATTCAGTAATTCTCAGTATCCACTCTATACACAATATCATAATGGATGCTGTAAAAAACAAAAACTCATGGAAGGCTTCATAAAGTAAGAGAGACTCAATTTAGAAACTCATTTGTAGAACATTTAATTTGTTAGTTTCTGGTTATTTTCTTCCATTCGGATTAACAGAGTAATCATTTTACTTTTCCTTTATCATGAGCAGGAGAATAATCCAGAGTACTGTCCAAGAAGCAACTACATGAATAACTAATAGGGAACATATTTAGATACCTTCCCATGTTTATGTTTAAGATAATCTAAATTTATGCATCCTTATTTTGTTTCAACAACTGTATTCTTAAGATATGATACTCCATTTTATATAAATTATTCTTCATTTTGGATTTATCATACCACATTAGCTTTTCTTTCAAAACTAAGTGTTTACTGTAGAAGAAATCAGTGACATTAAAAAAATGAAGAATTAATTTTTTTTTTAATCCTACTATACCTAAACTAATATCTATTTTCCTGGTTGATATAGATATGCTTGTTTCAAATGTTAAAGTAAGAAGTATTTGAAAATAAAATTATAATATTCAAAAGAAAATTCTGAAATTTCTCTACAGCTACAGCTCAAGATTTACTATAGTTTAGAGAGATTCTCAATCA